GAGTCAGATATTGTGTGGGTGGAGTACAGCAATCTGCATGCTTGCTGCATGCAAGTAAGCTAAAGTTACAGAACAATTACTGTATCTCAAATTTTCAGGTGTCTAATAACAACCTGCAATCTCGCTAAGTAGCAGAGTTGATTAAATAGCTCTGGAATGGATGTATATCCACTATGGCTGATCCTGACAGTCGGATGACAGTGTTTTGAAGAACCCAACAAGAGGCCAACCCTTACTTGAGCCCAACCTACCTTATACCACTTTTTACTAAGGATCAACAAATAATTATAGTTTAATGTGTTAATCCTTCCAGTACTACATTGTTTGTTTTTTTTTTAAAAATTGATCCACAACAATGTGTTCCCTTTAAGCAACATTTAAGCAAAAATAATTCAAAGCAAAAATCTTAGGTTGTGGGAGAGCTATGTGGGAATGATACGCACCTATTCACTGGTTATCCAATCATGCACAAAGGACACACGACTATATAAAACTGATTGTCAAAAAGAGGGGAAAGGGAGAGAAAGATCATGCACAAAGAGAATATTTATAGGAAACTATGTCTGAATCTAATTTGACTCTACATTTTCTGTTTTTATAAATTCTGTTTTCTGTGTGTTGGTATTTGGGTTATCAATGGCTGTTTATTGCCACAAACTCCAGTGATTGAAGTGCTATTTCCCCTGACTGTGATTTCCTGGGTCATGCATCTGGATGGCCACAGTGGGCGCAGCTCCATAGTGTTTGCAGCCTCAGCTGGGGCAGCTCCTGTGTCCAGAAACAGATGAAATGGAAGTCTTGGTTTTCGCTCTGCTTGGTGGTGGGGTTTCCCGATTCTTCTCTACGTTGTGTCTGATGGGACTGGAACCCTCTCTATGTTATGTCTGAGGGGACTGGGTCCACTCTCGTGACTTAAACAGTTAGAGCTTACTGGGCATTGGCTAGCTTGGGTCTCTTCACAGCATAGCAGTGGAAGGGCAGTTGAACTTCTTTCATGATGATTAACAAGGCAAGAAACCAAGGCTTACATTGAAACACTTCATCCAATCCAGTTTCACTTCTAATATTTTCTATGTGTTTATTAAGGCCAAATTCAAGGAGAGGAGGATAAGATTCTGCCTCTCAAATACTTTGAGTCACCTTTAATTTACCATGATTAACGTTTATTAAAGTGAGACACAGAGGCACCAAAGATGCACTGAAGATATTTTGGCTACAAGCACCAAATCAGAGGCAGCTGTAAAGACTCCTTCCAAAGCTTACATACCTTGGTGGTATTGGTGTTACGTGCCATCAAGCTGCCTCTGACCCATAGCAGCCCGAAGCACAACAGAGTGAACCACCACCTGGTCCTGCGCCCTCCTCAGAATTGTTCTTGTGTTTGAGCTCATTGTTTCAGCCACCATGTCAATCCGTCTTGTCGGGGGTCTCCTCTTTTTCGCTGCCCCTCCACTGCGCCAACCAGAGTAGTCTTTTCCAGGCCCTGTTCTCTTCTGACTCATGTCCAAGTACATGAGGTGAAGTCTCACCCTCATTGCTTCCAAGGAGCATTCTGGTTGTACTTTGTTCTTAGGAGAAGCCATTTGTAGCATCTCTTTCTCACTTTTCATTCAGTGCAGTTACCTTGATAGCTTATAGTTACCAACCAGAAAGCAAACAAAAAAAGAAAACAAACCCCGGGGGCTTAAGTGGAGAGCAAATGTTTTGAGAATGATGAGGGCAATGAATGTACAAATGTGCTTTACACAATTGATGTGTGTGTGGATTGTGATAAGAGTTGTATGAGCCCCGATTAAAGAAAACTACTGCCATTGAGTTTGTTCTGACTCATAGCAACCATTTGTAGGACTTTTGAGGCTATAAATCTGTATAGGAGCAGATACTCCCATCCTTCTCCTATGGAGCGGCTGAGGATTTGACCCGTAAGCAGCCAAAGCTTACTCGACAGCATCATCAGGGTTCCTTTCTAAAAGTTACACCATGGAAATCAGAAACACTTCAAATAACAGCCTCCTGCTCCCACTTCCCGGGGTCGGTGAATATACCGCACATTAGGACTTCACACTCAGTACCACTCAGATCCCCTGAATATAAAAATACTATCGCTACATAGTAGAAACACTTGGGGCATTTCTAAAGTTCCTGATGCTCAGGTCTCGCCTCAGAACAATCACATCCAAATAGCTCCAGGGTGGGACCAGGTTTAAGCCTTGGAAAGCGCTTCAAGTGACTCCCAGGTGCAGCCAATAAGAGAGCCACCGACAGATGCGGATTCTTTCCATCCATCTCTCCTGTGGAAATCTGACTTTTCTGAATGATTTGGGAATATCAAGAGAGATCAGAGCACTACCCACAGAGAGAGTGCACACTCCATGGCTTGTACATTTGAGAAAAAAAGAAAGGGAACTATCAGAAATAAGATACTTGGTTTAAAAAGTCCAGAATCACAAATGTAGAATAAATAGTTGAAATACCCCATGAGAAGAGGTGGCCGTTTTCTGTTGTTCAGGAACTTTGGGGTTCCCTTAACCCAGCGATTTTCAACCTGTGGGTCATGACCCCTTTGGGGGTTGAACAACTCTTTCACAGGGGTCGCTCGATTCATAACAGCAGCAAAATTAGTTATGAAGTAGCAATGAAAATAATTTTATGGTTGGGGATCATCACAACATGAGGCACTGTATTAAAAGGGTCGCAGCATTAGGAAGGTTGAGAACCACTGTCTTAACTCATTTTTCTAGTAAGCGAGTGCTTCATCAGGCTTTGAAATGTCTAATTCCAATGAATAATTTCATAATTTTCTTATCAAGTGTACATACTTTTGGTGGTGCTTCAACGTTCCTAAGTAGGAAATCATGCACAGTTTTAAAAATTATTTTGGACATATATCTATTTTGCTAGGCATTATGTAAAGGTACATTACATAAAATTATGTATTCATGTCTACCATATCTTATTTTTGCAATTCTTTCTGGATAACATCCCTCCTTTTGCATTTAATATTAATAAGTTGAGTGTGCTATAGCATTGAGTACACTCGCTGAGTCAAAGGGAAAAAAAGGAACAACAGAGAAAGAAAATCATATACCATATTTACACATATTTTATTCATGGGACACCTTTGACAAAGTAGCCGTCATATGCCATTAACATTTGTATAACCTACGTATTCCTTGTATGGGAAACATCCACTATTTTCCAACAGCATTCTTCAAACCTTAATTTTATGTAACAGAGTGGTATAGGAGGGAGAAGGATGGGGTTGCTATCAAACACATGTGTTACTCCTTGGGATCAGGGAACTAGAAGTTGAGGAGTCAGTTTGGCACGCTTCCTTAGACCCTCGAAGGGGACTGCAGTAGCAGTTATAGGTGATGTCCCTTTTGGTATTCTCTCCAGATCTCTGGTTTCAGGGTGCCCATCTCCCAGTTGCTGTGGTACAACTTTCTCTGGAGGATTACTCTTGGGTCACTGGAGGCTCCTCTTGTAGTGCTGCCTGGGAAATATTCTCCTCTACCTGGTTCTGGAATGGCACAAATGGTTAAACATTCCACTACCTTGTTTCCCTGAAAATAAGACAGTGTCTTATATTAATTTTTGCTCCCAAAGATGCTCTAAGTCTTATTTTCAGGGGATGTTATTTTTTTCCATGAAGAAGAATATGGTACACATTTATTGTTTTATTAAGAGATCTCACACTTCCTGTCTTCTCCGGCTGCGCTATGGCCAACAGTGAGCTGTACTGCGACGCCTGCCACTAGAGTCCAGAGTCCAGAGTTACGGTAGCTTCGGGGGGTTTTATTTTCGGGATGCCTTATATTTCAGCAAGAGGCAAAACTGTAAGTAGGTCTTATTTTCGGGGGATGTCTTACTTTAGGGGAAACAGGGTAGTAGCTTTTAAGATCGGCAGTTCAAAACCCACCCAGAGGCACTTCAGGAGACAGGCCTGGAAATCTGCTTCGGAAAGGTCCCAGCCTTGGAAATCCCACAGAGCCGCTCTACTCTGCACGCCTGGGCTCCGGAGTTATTGTGGGTGTACATTCTCCAACCCCGGGAGCAGACGTGTACAAAGAAACAATGCTGCAATCCTCAGCTTCTCAGGGATAAACTCATGCTGTTTTTTAATTTTAATTTGTATGTATTTATTTTGGGGATAAACTAATTCATATGTAATTGCTGCTCAGTCTCTTGCCCACCCTGTGAGATGCAAGGAAAGATGGTGGAATTTCTTATGGTCTCTTGAAGCCACTTTGTAACAGAAATATATATATATAATATTATGTACAAATTATTGTATTATGGATATATTTCATAGTAGAATATAAAATGTATATGATCCATGACAAACATGATACTGTAAAAACATTGTACAACTGCTTTGGATGATGTCTTTTGTCCTCTAATCCTACCTATTGGCCATTAGATTCAGGAGGCACCCTGATATGCCGAAACCCAAAACCAAACCGAACCTACTGCCATTGAGTCAATTCCAAGTCGTAGCTACCCTACAGGACAGGGGAGAATGGCTCTTTCGGGTTTCCAGGTGTGTAAATCTTTAAAGGAGGAGACAGCCCCAACTTTCTCTCTTGAAGCAACTGGTGGGTTTGAACCACGAATCTTTCAGTAGCTCACTGCTTAACCCATAGTGTCTATGGCCCACAATATTATTATTATTAGGGGCCCAAAGAACATGTTTATAGTGGAAAATTAATGCATTTTGATGCCGGAGAGTATTTTAATATGTAATACTAATATGTTAATATTTATCTTAGTGTAGCGATATATCTTTAGTGTAGAAGGGGGCTCACAGGGGGCATGAAAATCATGAGGCAGTGGCATATGTTCAGTAGATAGTGGAAACATGTGAAAAGCTCTAAATTTTAGGTTATTGTCTCTTTTCAATTGGTTATTTTTGAGAACTGAGGTCTTCAGAGTCCCAGGAAATTGATTTCAACTAGTAGAATTTCAGACATACTGCATACAGAATGCAGTAATTTAGATAGACAGGACAAAGACCTTTGCTAGTCACCTCTCAGGCCCCACTGTGCATGGCAGGCTATGTCAAGGGCCCCTCCCTCCCACAGAAGACACAGCCTCTGCTCCCCCATACCAAAACCAACACTTGCAGCAAAGAGCAGATCCTCTTGTGTCTTGTTTTAGAACTTGACTTTGAAATCTAAGAACGTAAAGGGACTTCAGGGACCACTGAGTTCAATCTCCAACTAATAATACAAGAGCATCTTTGTTAACATCGTTGACCATGAACTAGATTTGGGAGTGTCAACACTGTTTCCTTTGTATCGTTGTCTTATAAAGAAGCAATAAATTTACAAAGACAGAAACATACAGGTTGCTTTTAATGCACTCGAAGGCTTTCCGATCAATATTCCACACGTATGCTTTGGTTCTGATAGCAGATAGCTATATGTGTTCGGCTGTACCCACAAGCACCATGGTTGTCTCGCTTTCCTCGGGGCAGAGATCCAGACCATCCTCCACGATCTTGTGCAGGGTGCTGTAGTGCTGCCGAGTTTGGTGGAACGAGTATAGCTCTGACGCAGCCTCCCAGGCCGCGAAGGAGGGCAAGGGGAAAGCTTCTGGCCTCTTGTTTTCAAAAAAGCACTTCAGATTCCTCATACTCAGCTTGCTGGCATAATCCAGGAATGAATTTTCCAACTGCTCCTTCTCCTTTTCCACGTATGTCTTCCAAAATGTCATCTGGAGGTAGCTGACTTTAGACCGGCAGCGACCGTAACAAGTGGAGACCAGAGAGAAGAAAGACGCAGAGCAAATCAGACACCAGCCTAGAATCTGAGAAAGAAAGAGATATTGAGGGCATGTAAAAGCAAAGCCACTTTTCAAACATCTTGAGGTGGTTTTTGTCAGTTAAATTAAAAACAGTCATGGTCACACCTCATGTGAAACCATTACTTTTTAGTAACATTTTAAAGTAGCCTTATTTAAACTCCAAAATAAAGTTAAAAGTTTACCTAATCTTTATTCTCTTGTTTACTCCCATTATCCAAAGAAATAACTTGTAGTCAGGAAAAAGAAGAGTACAGCATATTCCATGCTTACATAAATCAAGCCTTCAAATATGATGAGCTATCAGAGGGTTGCTATCTGTGTTTGGGTAAATGTGGTCATTTGAGTAAATGACCAGTTAGTTCCCTAGTCAGACATTTTTAGGCTTTGTTGACCATTTTTTCGTATGTACCTTTGTTTAAATGCAGTATATTTTAGTGAATTTTACGGGAGAAGTGTTATTACTCAGTATCTTTGGCAATGTGAGCCAGATATAAAACATTAAGGAAACTGAAGTTATAAGTATCTAAAAGCCAGCTAAAATCTGGTCCTGGGAGGGAATTTCAGCTAACTCTAAATCTTGAGGTTTATTCTTTCTGGATTTGGGTCGGGGAGGGGGTGGGGTAGGGGTGGGAATCTTCCCTCTGAACACAAACGGTCCATCAGTTTGCTGCTGTTTCATTTGTCTACTAAATTATAAAAATAGGAAGCTAGACACCTCCAGCTGTCTTCTAAATTTCTGTTCCAATCACATTTTTTTATAATTGGAATTCATTCCACATTTGGATAGCTAAAACAATCTCTTTCAAAGTGTCTCTTGACATTTTAATTAAATGACTCTTACTGTTTCTCTACAGATGTGCCTATTTGAAAACGGAAATATAAATATGCAAATAAATGGATTTCTTCATACCATAACTGAACCACTAATATGCTCCAGGGCTCAATATAAGTGATTCCCAAAACCTACGGCAAAGGATGTGGAGTTTCTGTGAAGGATCTGAAATGCTGTCAGATGCCTGTGGCCGTGGGACAGCAAGCTCTGGAGTCACACTAAAAACCCAAACCAAAGCAGCTGCTGACACATCATTTTCTGACTCATGGCTGCCTTAGACTTTTCAAAGACCTCTCAGAATTAGACCTCCAGGCCTTTTCTCCAAGGCGTGTCTCAGTGGATTTGAACCATTAATCTGTGTGTCGGTTTGTAGTCTAGTGATCCCAACTTTCTCTCTACTATGATGACCTCTGTGCCCAAGTTTCCTCAGTGGTACAACTGGGCTGGGGGCTGGGGGCCGCCTGTTCCTGCGGGTCCTTGTGAGGATTTAGTGACACGATCTCTAAGATGTGCTTGGAACAAAGCCGGGCATTCACACACATTCGGTCACTGAATTCAGTGATCACATGCTGTGATTTTTCACATGTGTGGCCTACAAAAGCTGGAACCTGTGAAAGACAGAAACGAGTCAGAGAAGGAAAACACTCACGTTTCCCTCAAAAAGGGGTCATACAAAAGACTGCGCTGTCAAACAAACGTGGAAAACTTGAGAGATCTGGCAAAGCAAGGCAGTCCCATCGAGTTCGAATGCTTCAGATTTCACTGCAGGTTATGTTAAAGTATTGCTGACTTCCTAGTAGCTTCTGCCATTATAGTTAATGAATAAGGCACAACTACCATTACGTGAGTCCTCATATTTACCTCGAATAACCCGTGACCGGCTACCTCCGATTTTCCTTTGCATCTTCTACCTTGCCTTTTCCCCAACCTCTCACTGCAGTATCTGACTCTATTCTTCCTGTGTTACAGACTACTGACCAGTTCATCTTCCTACCTCTCACTGCAGTATCTGACTCTATTC